AGGCCTTGTTGTCACGATGGAGGGTGCAGTCGCAACCTTTTTACGCCCTTTTCTCGAAATCACCTCCTCCATTATATATATATATACACACACACATATATATATACGTGTGTGGGTGTAGATAGATAACGTTCAGAGTCTATGGTTGATTAGGAATGCCTAAATTACATTATCAGAAAGGTAAGATTTATATTTTAACTTTAAAAAAGTGTGCTTCTGTATGTTCTGTACGTTTATAAGTACGCCTCAGTTTCTTTGATCAATTAATGAACACACACACACGTGTGTGTTAGGTTTATAAGAGAGTGTAATACTACTTGGTGGAAAGTGATGCGCTAGCGGTCTTTAGTCTTTTGATAAAAGGTGCAGAGTAGATTAAGTTTTCTTTAAGAAAATATAATCTTACTGTTTACTGGTTTGTGGTATTCATTAAAAAAGTTAATTTAAGTAATACCGATTACAATAATAATATATGATAGAACATATTGAAGAAGCTTTGATAACAAGTGAATAAATATTCTGACAAAAGAATTAACGAGAAACAAACTTTCCTTAAAATTCAAGTGTTTGACAAATCTCCGGATTTGGGTGACAAACCTTGATAGCAAATCACTAGATATGGATGTGTGATGAATAGGTGTAAAAGTTGCTTACTCTCCATCACTTTCTTTATCGCGCTTTATTGTGGGATGGTTGCCGTGGCAACAGAGCAGCGATCAATCCAACGATGATCGTGGCGTGTACACTGCGGTTGGTATCGGTGTTTAAAACTTACAGTGGTACTTAAACAAACAAACAAAAACATTTACTGGAAACGTTGTCTGGTTCTTGTGGAAAAACATTTTTGTTTAGAATCTGAATTTAACAGATTTGATATAACAAGATAAAAGAAAAATAATTCAGAATCGACGATCTGTAAAAGAAAACAGCAACAGATGATGGATTATAGTATACAGTAATTTCTTCAAAAGATGACTGATTTTCCTCTCAAACGTTTGTAACTGAGGAATCAAATAAGATGAAACTGTTTGGACACATCATTCCTGCTTAAACTCATTTTGGAGAATGGTTTCTTCAAAGAAAGTGTTTATATCTATTTTCTTACCTTTGTATTTTTATACATATTTCAATGACTTTTTGATTTATCACATCTTTGGAAATGAAATAGGTCCAACAGTGAATGCAGATTAACACCATAGCGGTTAACACTCGAATAAGCCAACAATTATAGTACTTACTGAAATTGATACTGGTTCAAAAATTATATATTAAGAAAGGAGAAAAATACGTAATTTTTACTTCTTTATTAATACTTGAATATTAAACTTTAGTGTCGCTGCAATATCATGATCAACAACAAATCATAACCAAACCAGCAGATAGGTAGTACTGCCTTAATCTTATTAAAACAAAATTATTTCAAAGAAACTTACCATCAACTGAATGGCATCAGGTTGTACCAGAAAAAGTAACTGCAAAGTTAAACAGCTTTGCTTAACATATTAAAATAGAAAACTTTTCAGTACTTAAAAATGCACTACTTTTCGTATGGAGGTTATGTCTTCTCCCTTAGTTTCCGCAAAATAAATCTGAATTATAAACAGCAACAAAAAAAAAGACATACATTCTTGTCACTTGAAATCCTTATTGGTTGGTCAAAAAAGAGATGTGGTTAGACTATTATCAGTCTTATTGTGATGTATAATATCACATCATTCACCAGTGAACAGACCGTTATACAAAATAACACTTGATATTTATCCCTTAATAAGAAAACTGCTTAGCTCTTTCCAATTCTTAAAGAGGTTAATGTTAAAGATTTTGTGTGGTCGATCCTTTTACAGTTTCTTTAATCCTAAACATCTTAAAATCACATGCTACGTTCAGATCAATAACATAGCAGTATTGTGGATTAATCGTACATTGTAAGAACGATGTTCCTGGTTCCATGCTGCCTTTAAACCTACATGTTAATTATAAAGAGAAGTCCATACTTAAAATAATTATATTTTAAGAACTACTTGTTCAAGGAATATGACGTTTCATTAGAGGCCCATTGCAAATCTAAGTTTTATTCGGGGAGTTTGGACATGGTTTAGTTGGGGAGCTTGGACATGGTTTAGGGTGTTTCAAAATTTGTTACAGAAGGTGTTCAATACGATTTATGTCATTTTAAATAAGCACATCAAACCTATCCTTAAATGAAGCTACGTTTTTGTTCATCAATTGTCACAATATCTTACACATGATACGTAATTCATTCCCGTCACCACCTCGAGAGGAGAAATAACAGCAAAGCTACTTTGCAGGAAAAACTATTTACGTATGTAGTATTATGTTGTTTTGAAATACCCTGTACTGTATCACTTATTTTCCTGAATAAACCTGTGCGTTGTGGCATTCCACGCTAAGTGAGTTGGAGTTTGCCATAAACTAAATATATCGGAAATAAACATGCGCCCGTGGTTCCAGTGCTCATATTTGCAGCAACGCGCCACAATATTAGCAATTGTATACTGTTTTCATTAAGTGTGATTCGTTCTTCGTATTTATAATTTTTCTCATTTGTTATTGCTTATAAACATTTTCTTTCCTATTTAATAAAGAAAAATATTCTAGACTGTTTTTCCATATGAATAAACCTCTTGGATGTTACTGTTTCATTAAAAGAAACTTGACTTACGAAACCCATACTGAGAAACTGTTGTATCTATAACACAAACTTATTACAATAACATTACTGCAGTCAGAGCAGCAGCGTTAAAGATTGTTTCTGTTTTTTCTCAATAAAGATTAGAATACTATAAAGGCCAACATTTGTAAACGAATGCAGTATGTATCCCCAGTCCACCTTATTCAATAAGGTCTCAGAATATAGTAGATTTCAAAAGAAAATTGTTTTCAAGACAAGGAAAATGCCGATAAACTACAACGTATATATATAATCTAGAGGGATAGACACTCAACACAGTATCATCTTGAGACTTCATTGTAAGAAAGATGTATTAGGGCATACTAAATTGTGACCTTATAATACACGGATTTCTTAAACAGAATAGCACATTCCTTGGCTCTTTAATAGAATCCAGATTGCTGGTCATGCTATGTAGGATGACTGTGAAGCGTTTCATAAGTTGGAAGTGTTAAGGTTACACATACGGTTGGGTGCAAGGATTCGATACCATGTAGGTGAACGCCTCGGTCTCCGCAGGGTATCAATTTTAAGACGAATTCTTCCACTTTACAAAGAAAGCTGAAGTAGTATCGTAGCCCGAGAAACTATGGAAGAGAGGTAAGTCCAGGAGTTTCTCTTTGCCTAGGGCAAATAGCATTGAGATGAAATTAGATAAAGTTCTTGCCTGTATTAAAAGCCAATCAAATGTCCACATCGGATTGATGGTGAACAGGTTGTAGAATTTGTCAATAAGAATCAAAAGAACCTTAGAATCGACAATGAGTTAAGGCTTGAGCCAACCTAGTCACCCTCCTGTGGACGTCACTGGTCTTGTGTCTGCTTCTATCTTGTGAACTGATTCTCTGAGTATTCTTTACTCAGTTTTTATGGTTAATAATGGATAAAAATATGACACCTTGCAAAACTCAGTTATGTCTGCCTTACGTGGATCAGAAGTTATTATGGTAGGAAAGGGGACTGGGAAAGAGATGAAAATGACAGAAGTGGAAGTGAAAGCATAAGTATAGTTGATGATTTGTATTTTACACATTATTTTACGCATTTGTGACCATAATAAACTTCATGAATATTACCATATTAATGTAAGTATCTGTTATTTATTTGTAATATGTAAGTTTCATGTAATTTTTCCCGCCAGAAAAATTACTTTTGGTAATACTTACGAAATTAAACCATTTTTCATGTTATAAAAACATGAAAGCTTTTTGTTTTTGTCACAGGTTCATGTTAATCACGACAACCATGTTTTTCAAATATGAAGAATATGTAAAACGACTCATAAAATTCACTGATTGGTTAGATTCTAGCAAAAAATGATAGTTTAGAGCCTAAGGAAGAACACACACAAAATTGGTGCTTTTATCCAGTCTGACCCCATTTTATTTTCTTCAGCGTCTAAATACCCGTGAAAGTGTTTCAGACAACAAAGGAAAATGTACAATATTTCTTTTGAAATATGAGAATTGTTTCCAGTCAGTTTTCTTTGTCCTCAGTCGGTGAGAGTTTGCTTGTCGAAACGTTGTACATTTGCTGTTATGTTAAACTTATATTAAAGTTTTTCTTCAATACACATTCAAGCCGTCTCCAACCATTATTAATCATTAAGTAGTTGAAGAAGTGAAGAGAACGAATTTCCCACATCACTTTTTTGGTGAAATAGAGATGAGATTTTACGAATTTCAATGATTTAGCGTGTTATATATGTCCCATACATTAGACAAACATAATATGTAACCATAATTTAGACGTATACAAAGGTGATGGGAAGAAGTTAAAGACGTAACTATTGACAGCTAGTGTAGTGGGAATTGCATTTTAATTTTTGACACCTATACTGAATGCAATTGATAGAGTAGAAAGATTGTAAAAAAATGGCCCCATTTTTTAAAGGGATTTTGAGGGTCAATTACCATGTGTTGAATGTTATTACCATAAATATACCTTTTGCGTCAAAATAAGAGAAGTTATTCTTTCAAAAGTTGCTAAAAACCTGTTCCTGTAGCATGTCAAAATGAAACTTGTGGTGAGCTCTGCACAAATATATATTTAAACTGTATGATATTCCAAAGTAAAGCCCATAAGACCTAGTTTGATAGTTTTTTTAGTGAAATATTGTACAAAAAGTGGTTTTTAACTCTTTTTAGTGCACATTTCCATACTTTTGGTCAACTAAAAATAAAATAAAATTGGCATTAAAAGTCAGTTCACAACTCCAGAAAATTAGCTTGGTCATTGTCTACATCTTCAACTGACTCAATGTAATCTAGGAGATATTTCCGTGCAAGCTAAGTTGTTTTTCCTACAGGAACATGATGATGTCGTACACTTGATGGCACAACATCCACATTTAACTAGCTCCATAATAGCTGCAAGCGCTGGAGGCAAGTCAGAAGTAATTGGAATGTAACATCTTTCTTCTAGCGTCCAGCCATAATCCAGAGATGAAGGTAGGTTTCGATTTGCCGTGTTGTCATTGTACCATACCATTGCTTGTCAATAGTTAGGGATCCACCCGCGCGCCTTGCCGCCAGAGGGTGCCACACGTGCGTTAGCGTCAGGGAGGGGTTGACGCCATAGTTTCATACATTGTCACCAGAGGGCGCGTTATAGGGACGCGTTGCTAAGCCTCCATTACAGACGGCACGATGTCATAAGTTGTCAACTGAGGGCGCTTTAGGGACGAGTTGCTAGGCCGCCATGAAAGGCGGCCATGACGTCATAGTTTCATTGAATCAGCAAAACATATCTCAACATAAATATATTTAATTGGTATAAAACACTAATTATAAATCGTCCTAAAATTAAATCGTCCTAAAAAGGGCACTTAATACTAATTTATTAGTTAATTAAGTCATTTATAATTAAATCGTCCTAAAAAGGAGGCTTAAAACTAATTCACTAGTTAATTACATTTCCTGATCATTTACATGTAAGTCGTCTTAAAAATGACGATATCATGCATTAATTAAAATTTACACTGTCACTAGTTTGACTTTATGTTTGAGAAAACATTTCATTTTTTATCTCACACGAGTTTTACGAGGGTGGACATCATACTTCCACATATGATCAATGTCTAGATTTAATTACCTTTATTTAACAACTGTCCGTAGGATTTTAACAAAAGTGCTGTTATCCACTATTTGAATGAGATCACAACTTACATTCTACTGCATAATAAATGTTATCAATACTATAAAATAGTAACACCCTTTTTCATAAATCTTTGAGGCCTGCACTTTCTTGTACAGTAGATACATGTTCAGAAATACTAATACTGTTTAGATGTTCAAAGAAAATAGCATTGACTATGATTCACATCACAATTGGGAGTATAAGACCAAGTTCTGCAAATTTAGTCTGCTAGCTAAGAATCACTTTTCACGAGTCAAATGTATGAAATTTAAGTATACACTAATGTTTAATTAATATTTTAAACATATCGTATTTCCAAAATGTTTTAAACAGTGTTATTATATATATTAAACGGAGATTTCAAATACTGTATATTGATATCACTGACAAAGGTCAGTTTCGATTTATCTAGCAGCAGTGATAGGTTTATTTTATGACACTTTTTAATTAAAGACGGTATAAATGTTTTGTTTGCCTTAACATTTCCATTAGGATTTTTTACACTGACAATCAATATCATAACAATTACAAACAGAACATACTAACTGTCTAAAATATCTTGGGTAACACCAATCACTATGTTGGCATCCCCCTTTTTCAAAAAACAATTTCTCATGTATATATTACAGAGTTTGCATTTGTCAGAGTTTTAGTAGTGTATAGATAGATTCTTCAATATCTTGTTATTGTCATCTTACGCCTTTTAATGAAGATGGGAACATTGACAGGGAAATAATATAATAGTCAATGCTCGGCTAGAGGTTTTCGTTTATAAAATTTTGTTGTTGTTCTCGACTTGCTTTTTATTTTATTACCTCGTCTCCATAGTTACTATTTGCAAATAGTCAATACTATTGTAGTTCCATTTTATTTTTGTTCTTTCTACTCACCATTATAACACATTTTCATCTCATCATTTAATTTCTGCTGTGCATATATTGTTGTATAGAAGATATTTTAAGGTGTTTCATTAGGTGGAAAACGAATAGATAAACCGATATGCGGCGCCATCTAATGTACATAAATTAATTTAGACATTTTCATAAAAGTGACCCGAAAAACGGGGCTAACTCAGTAACCCGTGGCCCGATTTTAACGAAACTTGTTTAATTCTGTTTTTATTCTCATTTCATTACAAATATGACGCTATTATGCGCCGTTTTTGCTGCATTTAATTACAGACAAGCAAATACACAAACAATCTCAGAGTTTTAGTAGTATGTAAATTATCTCGAATTGACGTCAAGCTAGTTAAACTTTGATGCAAAGATAGTCACGTGGTCACACACATACACTTATTCTATGAGCAAAGGTTGATGACCACATTGTCTCGACACGTCATCAATGGTTTGAAAGAAGAGCCTGAAAGCAGTACATTGTCACTATCTTAGGAGTAGTCACATATTACTCTCTAACCAATTACTTACTAATATAGAAAATACTTAAAATAGCAAAACTTACCATTTTCTATAGATTATTCACTTTAAGTTTAAATCACACCATCTTTCTAAATGACGTTGAAAGCCATTAAATAAGAATAGAGGGGCTGATAGAATCCAAAGTTCTGTTTGATCAGTAACATTATTGATATTCTGTCAAACTTTGACACTGCACAATTCTTAGGTGGTCGTCACGTGGTCACTGACGCAAACAGTTGAAGGCAAAGTTGACCATGTATTTGTCTGATACATGCAGTATATATTTGTTTTATCACGTTATTAGTCACACAGAAGAAATCACCACAATACCGAAAATGATTTGATAATAATAATCGTGAAATACCTTTTAGTTATAATTCAAGTTATTATTCTTAGACTATTTTAAAATAGATATTTTCTCACTTGGATTTTGAAATTGTTACCGTATCATGAAATATCTTTCATTTACACTTTATAGATAGATAATCAAATGTCTTTAGTTGACTGTCCCCTACAGCTTAAACTGACATATTTCACCCTAATACACTATATTCAATATACAAGTAAAGACTTCATAATCAGCAACAGCGTGAACAAAGTTGGTCTCGCTACGAAAGATATATAGATCTTAAAAGTCAGACAATGATTAATGGTGATGTTTACTGTAAATATAAAAAGTGAGTTTTGTTTGTTTGAATTTATGCACAAAGCTACACAATGGGCTATCTGTGCTCTGCCCACCACGGGTATCGAAACCCGGTTTCTAGCGTTGTAAGTCCGCAGACATACCGCTGTGCCACTGGGGGGCAGGAGCTGTAAGAGAAGCCCTGAAAACAATGCATAGATATATTGCTGCTAAGTCGTTTTTGTCTGTAAAGGGCATTTTTCCAAGAGCGATCTTTAGGTATGTCTGGGAGAGTAGCAGCTAGACGTGAAAATCAACAGCTAAATCAATTCTGTCAATATCATCTGACTTAGCTCTTGACGATTACACTAGTTCATTGTATTATACATTCACATTCATACAGAAGTTCAGCAGCTGGAATGTATTCCATTACAATGTGGACAAATTCAATTTTGAACAGTTTTCTGCAGCAACGATTTTCTATTCTTCAGATTCATAGCTAGCAAGGAACTTTTTCACTCTCATATGCGTCTCCAGAGATTCTGGAACAACTGATGTGTCTTGTGGCACTTCTTTAGCACTTGTCATCATGGTATCTTCAAAAATATTTTCTCTTTGTACAGGCAACAGAATTTGCCATTCGCTATTAACTGAATTAGTAGCAATATCAGTTCTCATGATTGAGTTTTGGGGACATAAAAAGTGAGAAACTATTCATCAGTAGTGGCGATTTGTGCAATAATAGCTTTCTCTTTTCTCAAAATGTGATGGTCCTAAAAAGAACCTTTAAATCTTCATACATTAAACAAAATCGTTTCCTTTAGAAGAATAATAGTCTTCATCTTCTGTCCGAATCCTTATTTGAAATACATTATGCCTATTTTGGATAATACCAATGGCCCAGTAAAGTAGTAAGTGGGGGGTGGTACGGGGTATTTAAATGTTCAACCATATGACTACGTAAGTACATCTCCATAAATAAAACAAATAGGACACTCACCAAAATGTGTTTGTTCGGAGATGCTGATCAAATGATTGAACATTTAGAAAATATTCGCCACAAAAATACACTTTTCACCCATGGCTCTATCTATTTCTGTTTATTATTTTACACACACATACACATATATCCAGAATAAAGGAACTTTCTAAGGAGAGACGCCAAAGGGGTGACCAGTGCTTTGAACCTTGTTCATTAGTCACATGCTGGTCAATACCCGAGTTTGTGGGTCGGGTGGAAATGTCGCATCTAAAGTTAAATATCTTAATAAATGATGTAACATTAATAACTGATATAGTGTTTTGACAGATACTTTAATTCAAAACGGACAGACAAACCAGAAATTCTATTTCCGTATCTTTGAAGCTTCTTAGGATAAAAGAAATGAAAAAATATCTATTTTATTTCATATTTTATATATATCCATCATGGTCACAATCCAAATAAGCTGTTCAGTTAGTATACGATTATTGCATACTGTACACGATATACAGCAAATGGTCAAAAGTTCAGACTGTGTCAGTCGGCTTAGAATAATTTTCAAAATAAAAAATCGATTCAAATCTAATTTGTGATATTTACTTAGATTACATAAACGTGAGATTTAATTATATATTATGTACTTATGTAATAACAGAGTTCGTTGTTTCCAGGTAGTGTTGATAAACTTGTTCACAAGTTAGAGTTGACAATTATAATCGTAAAAGGACCTTTAGTTATAAATCAAGTAATTATTATTCGAACTATTTCAAAACAGTTATATTATCTCAGGTGGATTCTGAAACTGTTACGTAACATGAATTATCATTCATTTACTCTTTATAGATAGATAAGCAAATGTATATAAATCATCAGTTACAAATCCGAATTCTGTGGTTTTCTGCCCCCCAGTAGCACAGTGGTATGTCTGCGGTTTCGATACCCGTGGTGGGCAAAGCACAGATAGCCCTTCGTGTAGCTTTGTGCTTATTAACAACAAAAAAAAAAACAATTGTGATTTTCTTATATGAAACACACTTCTCATCATACACTAATATACTATCTTTAGTATATGTAAGTAAAATCTCGGACTTGAATTATCACACATATTGAAACATTTGTTAACAAAACTTCAAAATGCACTATGATACCATTTACGAAAACTTCTTAGTTTATAGATAAATGTCAAGTTTAGTCTTTTATAGTTAATTACACACCATGAATATTAGTTTCTAACAAATTTCCATTTATATTTGATATAGAAAACTCATGTTTCATCATAACCCGATG